CGAACAGGGTCTAGCTGAATTGGTGACCCATAACTGCCGAGCTACAGCCCTGAACTCGAATCCACAGCATATATTGGTGGTCTGCCCACGTCTTTCCCACACGTGACGAGGCCATCCTTCTCATTTAAGCTGGCCCTTGATGGCTCCACATGTATTGTAGGAGCCATTCGAGGTACCTGCAGGGGGCCTCGAATTGACGAGAAGGGGACCCTTTGTTGTCTCTCTCTTATCTCTCTCTCTCTCTCATTTGGGGCCTATCTTTTTTCTTTTTTTTTTTTTTCTTTTTTTTTGCGCACAGTGCGCGACTCCCTCAGCGCGCGCACCGCGCACAGCAGACAGCACTGCGTACTGCGCACACCGCAGGGCGCACAGTGCGTGCGCTGTCGTTCCAGCGCACAGCGCAGTGCGCACCGCCCCGCACCGCACTGCGCACTGGTGCGCCGCAACTATGCTCTGCAGCACCCAATTGCTTCTGCAATAGTCGTCTCAAAACATTGCTACCAGGTGAGAAAATAAGCACATCACATCCCATCACAGAAAATCCGTCGGGCATATTTCTTATCAACGGGTTGGCAGTACCGGTCTAGAACTGGATTCAAACCACTATCGTCTTCACTCGAATAGAACGCCCGGTCATTATCGCTGCATCTGGACCGAAAGTTGTGCCAAATACAGCTATAATGACCGGGCATTCTATTCGGGTGAAGACGGTAGCACAAGGATTTCCAGACCTTTGCTCTAACGAACTTAGCTACCTTTCAAAAAAAAAAGAAAAAAACATCACACATGATCAGTTCAGAAAAAGGTAATTCAAAGCCTACTAAGTACAAAGGCACATTAGAAAAGAGAGGGAACTTGGTTGGGGTGGGGGGGGGGAGCAAAGAAAAGAAAACGAAAAAAGAGAGGGACTAGGACTCACATCTCAGTGGTCGGATCCGTCAGCGGAGCCTCCAGTCTGCCACCCAAACCCACCTTCACAGAAAGAAACACGGTTCACAAGCCCACAGTATTAGCACATGATGGAAAAGTAAAAAGAAGAAAAGAGATTAAAGTTCATTAAATCCAATCATGATCCTACACATCTTCCCATACTGGCCATGTCAGAGCATGTGAAGCTTTGGAACACTGACAGAACTAAAGTGAAAGTTCAGAGTGTGGTTGTGGGGTCAGAGTGGAGTTGGGTGCTCACATCGACCGGTTCCCAAGTCCACAGTATCCGCACATGAGGGAAAGAGAGAGAGAGAGAGAGAGAGAGATTAGACCCAATCATGATCCTATACATCTTCCCAGGCTGGCCATGTCAGAGCATGTGAAGCTTTGGAGCATTGACAGCGCTGAAGCGAAATTTCGGAGAGTAGTTGTGGGGTCAGCGTGGAGTTGGGCACTCGCGTCGACTAACCCATGCATACAAGGTTCAGCGCTAAATGGGGGTCGGCTAATAGGTACCACATACAGAATTGAATAACAACTTTAACAAATTAAGGTGAGGCCTCAGCGGCTTCCCCACGCGGGTGGCAGAGGACCAGTGGGCCTGACCCCAGGCCAGAGAGATTGCCGACCTCGTCAGGCTCGGGCATGGACCCGGTAGGGCCGCCTGAAGCCTGGTAGGGCATGCCCTTAGCCGGAAGATGCCGGGAGGCAGCGCCCTCAGGCTGGAAAGGCTGGGGAAGATCAAAACATCTTTTGGACGCTGGATGCCGCTAGTCAATAGGAGCAATAAATCAACACTGTGCCCCAGGAGAGGGCAGGACCTGGCATCCAGCCAGTTGCAGTCATTGCTGGGCTGAGGAAGGAAAGCAGTGCAATAGCTTAAGGGTCCTGAGGTGAGAGAGAGGTGGTGCCAGAAGGGGAGGGGGGGATTGGTCAGTTATTTACCTGGTGGATGCCAAAAGAGCTCCAGAGTGACAAGTTCTTCAGGAGGTATTGGCGGGCCCAGCACAGAACCCCGTGGAGCTGTTTTATGGTGCAGTATTGGCTAAGGGTAGACATACAGTAGGTGGTCATACCTGCTGGTAGAGAGACCAGCCACAGCTGAGAACTGTTATTGTGGTTATACTGATTTTTGGAGGCGAGAAGAGGGGTTTTACAATCCAAGCAACTTCAACATTGTCTCTTCTTGTGTTGATGTTTGCTTTGTCATTTCTGCTTACTGGTCTTGTTGCCATATGCATGCTGGTCAGGACAGTTCATGGCGGTTCCAATTTGAGTTCCTCCTGAGCGGTTTCCTGGGGCATACATCCAGCTGCTCACAAATACATTGGCTTCGCGGTATGCATGCTCCCGCATGGCAAATCGAGCCCACGTTCGTAACTATTGAAAAAGCAACGAGGATGATGGTCATACACCCAGCTGCTCACAAATACATTGGCTTCCCAGTACACATCCTTGGCTAATCGAGCCCACATACGTAACTATTGCACCAAGATCTATACTAGAAAAGGCAACTAGGATGACGGTCGTGATTCGAGTTCCTCCTGAGCGGTTTTCTGGCATACATTGAGCTGCTCGCAAATACGCTGGCTTCACGGTATGCATCCACCCGCATGGCTCCACGTACGTAAAACTATTGTACTAAGATCTATAGTTGAAACGCAACGAGGATGCACCATAGGAACGCAACAGAGTTAAATGCAACGGAGACAAACGACAGCCCTGACTCAACTATCCATTGGCCAGCAACGGAAAGTCCGAGATAGCCAATGCGCTTGCTGTAGCTTAAGGCGTTATAATGATCACATCAACCATGTGGCTAAGGTACAGTCTTCACCCAAACACAACGCACCCTAATCATGAGTGGATACGAGCCACACGTCCGGCCCTACACAATCATATTCAGGGTGTGCTGTGTACGGGGGAAGACAGCAGTCCGATCCGATTGGACTGTGGCCTATGGACGTCTCAAGCAAGCACACAGACTGGATGGCCCATGTCTGCACTCAAATGTCAGGCGAAGACCGACTGTTCATTGTTACTCTTGTCGAGCCTCAATGGCACTGATGCCACAGCGCAGCAAGATGTGTGAGACTAATTTTCCCCACATGGCATACAGTCCTGACACACATTCCCTCGCATTGCTGACTTAGCAAAAACATTCCCTCACATTCCTGGCCTAGCTAAAACATTCCCTCACATTGCTAGCCTAGCAAATCCTGGGTCCCACAGCTGTGGTAAGACTACTCTGACAGGAGCCACTGGTTCGCAATGTAGACAATGACTGGACAAGTCCAGCGAGGGCCCGGTCAGGGACCGATTCGGAATACCCACAATGCCTGGTCAAAATGCAGACCAGATTCTTCCCACCACATTCCGCCGAACATACCCACCCTCACCACGAATGGTTACAAAAGCCATCTCTGGCCTAATAGTCCCGATGAGCTTGTGTTACGACGACAGACATCGACCGTCTGGAACTGGACTCCTACTGTTCCCCTCCCGAATAGAGTGTAGGGTCGTTGTCCCTCCTGCGTATAAACTGAAAGTTGCCCCAGACACAGCTAAAATGACTGTACCTTCTATTCCATGGGGGCAACAGGGCCCCACCATTGGGCATGCACCATCGAGCCCGCCCGTCCACCCCCCTCCCGAATAGAGTGTAGGATCATTGTCCGTCATGTATATAAACTGAAAGCTGCCCAAAACACAGCTATAATGAATGTACCTTCTATTCCACCGGGACAACAGGGCCCAGCCATTGCTCATGCCCCATGTATATAAACTGAAAGTTGCCCCAAACACAGCTATAATGAATGTACCTTCTATTCCACCGGGACAACAGGGCCCCGCCATTGCGCATGCCCCATCGAGCCCACCCATCCACCCACCACACCAACGAATCTCACACGTCAGTCCCCACTCGAATTCAGCCAACAGCAAAAGGGAGAAACCCATAGTGGCCAAGGAGTTCCTCCTCGTCAGGTTTGCTGAACAGACTGATGAATGCTGATCACGCCACCATCTTCACCCGAACAGAACACCAGGTCATTATGCGACCGTCTTCACCCAAACAGAACACCCGGTCATTATAGCCATATTTGGTCCAATTTTCAGTCCAGATACAACTGTGATGACCGGGCGTTCTCTTCAGGTGAAGAGGGTAGTCAACCAGCCATTATAGCACACATATGCACGACAGACGAAGAAAAGACACAACCCACCTTCCCCCCTGACTCAGCAGCCAACTGGCTCTATGCCCACACATACACTGCCAGTTCTATTCCCTGCCTGTAGTCGTAAGAGATCTGAAAACTGGTGAACAGTTGCTAGACAGGCTTCTCTGGAAAAAGTTGTTTGTAGCAGGATTGACACTTTTTCCCTTTTCTAAGCAAAATCCGGAATGGAAGTCGACCCGGGCGAAAAGCAAACTTCTTTCCAAGTCTTTATTTTCCTGTAATAAAATTAGTATCACCATGAACAGGAAAAAACAAAGCCATTTCCCTAGGCTGCGGACCCATTGCAATTTTCCTTAGATCGCCCGGAGACCACTGTCCTGGCACGTTCTTCACCTTGCCAGTGTAAAGCCATGAATATTACATTCATGTTATAGCAGGACTTGAACCCTCGATTCCAAAACTGCACGTCATGGGTGTGTAGCGTACCAATGGCCTTATATCACCCCGAGAGCAACACTGCCCTGGGCACGTTCTTCATCTTGCCGGTGTAAAGCCATGAATATTACATTGATGTTATGCCAGGATTTGAACCCTCGCTTTGCCTATTCACAGTCGTGGGTGCGTACCAATGGCCTGAAAGCTCTGTTCAGGCACATCCATGGAAAGAACTGGGAAAGCCACCACACTTTTCTTGGCGTATTGCACAACTTTCGTCCTTTTTCTCCTCTTTCCCTTTCTATTCTTTCGGTACGCTAGAACATATGTCTAGACAATGAAACGCCCTGAAAGGGATCAATCTTAGGACAACTGCAAATCTTAGGGCCAGGCCCCACCGTTGCTACGTTCTGACTCGAAAGCACAAACATGACTGTCATAATGGTCACGTCCATACTTTCGCAGCATGAACCTAGCACCAGCGGGGACCTCAGACCTCTTAGGGGCACAATAACAATTATGATACTGCCTACAATCAGTCTTTTATCCAAACCAGACCCAACTTCATCTGGCATCTACCGAAACTTGAACATGGCCCATATGCCACAGGCAGGACTCCAAAACGACGGGCTCGCACAAGAAAACGAAAACGAAAACGAAAAGAAAGGGAACATGGGCTGGCAAATCCTTGCACCCCTTTACGAAAGATCAGACAGCCAAGCGAAAAAACAAAGGACCATAAAACACACACAGATGACCAAGCACATTCACATGCACATACGAATAATGGGCACCCGTTGAACACTCCACCTCCTTTGGAAAGGTCACAGACCCAAAGCAATAAAAGGCAAATGGACCACGGCACCAACTGGTCGAATAGATCAGTTTTCACACCCCTGAACTGAACTGTTGAAATACAGACCTGAGTTCCATCTCCACAAGAAGCAAATGCATAAAATAGTACAGTTCTGAATTACCTACCGTCTTCACGTGAATAGAACGCCCCGTCATTATAGCTACATTGGGCCCAACTTTCAGTCCAGATGCGGCGATAATGACCGGGCGTTCTATTCGGGTGAAGACGGTAGGACCCGTCAGTTCGATGATGATATCTCCAGGCCGCCACCCTTTTTTTTTCAAGGAAAGAAAAAAGGAGACAAAGAAAGAGGGGGCGGGGGGGGGAGGGGGAACAACCAAAAAAGGACCACAAAACATAGATTACACAGCAAACTACACCCACAGAAAAAAGAAGGGCACAAAATGTCAACGCTCCTCATTACAGATGAAAAGGAGATCCACCTAATTCGAAAAACGGCAACGTTGGCGACATAAAAGAAGAGAAAGGTAGTTCCTGCTTAGCCCTGGAGCCTACAATCACTGTCCGGTCGGGACACCCCCGTTGAGATGACAGGAGAGTGACAATCATGAGTGGTAGACACTGAGGTGGGATTGTGAGAGTAGGGTTGCGCCAGGGAGGAACGACGAGCGTGGGTGGTGGGAGGGAGTCTCTCATAAGGGATGGGACCCTCTGTAGACCATCTAGATAACTTAATGCCCAGCTACGGAAGGTGACTGTCATAGTCTGGCCTCCAACCTCTACAACAACCTGGACTCGTAAAAAAAAAAAAAAAAAAAAAAAAGGACAAGCATATCCTGGCGTAACAGCGCCAGTGTAAGAGTATACTAGTAAACTCACACGAGGCCCTCAAAACTGCAAAGTAGCAAAGTCAGCGGCCGGATAGAGTATTCAGTTTACAAGGGGCTCCATCTGGCTGCTGATTTTGGGATTTTGCAATTTTGAGGGCCTAGTTTGAGTATGCCCTAGAAAAGGGGTCCAATGCAGTCTGGATCAGCAAACAGAAAAGAACATGGACTGTGCAGCAACTCCACAAAAACTCCTCCCTCTCCTTTTCCTCCTCTCCTCCTCTTTCTTCTCCTGCATAAAGTGCTCGTTTCTTCTCATTCAGAAGACAGCAAGGTTGGCCTCCCCCCCCAAAAAAAGACGTGAAAGGAGGAGCGCATCCTGACGCAGTATCACCTGCCTACGGAAGAGTGTACATACTACATACAACACATTACAGCCTCGGAAGATAAAATGTTGGGAGACAAAGACAGCTGGGGCCAAGTTAAAACTAAACCACCTCTACCTCCGAGGCTCTTTTTGTCGAGATGGGAAAGAACTGTGCTCCAAGCTTTGCCAAAGAGCCAGCGCGACTTTCCCTTTTTTTTTTTTTTTTTTTGGCGGGCGCCCCCAGTCATTTTGGTCCGGTGGCATCCGGCCTCCGGAGAATGTGTGGTATAGGTTATCCCTCATTCTTGGTTGGTTGCGAGCTCGCCTGTGGACAGTAGTGGTGGTTTTTAAGACAGCTGGTCCGCTAGAAAAGAGTCAAAGGACCATTTATTTTTTAGTTTATAACTTCATTCATTACGTAGTTGAGGCTCGACAAACTGTGAAAGAATTTCCAGTGGGCTAATCATTTGCCTTTTAAAAAAAAAAAAAAAAACATTTCCAGATGCTGCCTTACTAACCTTGAGGCTGCTGTACAGTGAAACAAAAAGCTTCTGCGCAGCAATCCGGTCATCCGGTCCTATTTTCAAGATGCCCTGTCCATGTACTCCAAGGTTGGCATCAGAAACGATTGATGAACCCCCCTGCAGACCAATCGCACCACGGCATTCGCAACATGCTTTCACATTAAGAACGATACACAAGCTTGTTCTTGAACAAAAAGGAAAAAAGAAAAAAAGAACGATGCACAAGTTTTAAGCCACAAGCCACCTGCCCAGACACCACATCACTAGACAGAGACATTAGAACATTTGACAGCCATCAAAACCACACAGATTTCCCCACACCACACACACTGAGGTGCCGCTACCTTTTACTATCTCCCCTGCAAGCCAACCACACTGCATCATTTGCAACATGCTTTCGAATTAAGAACGATACACATGTTTTATAGAACAAGCAAAACAAATGCACGCCGGCAAAAAGACCAGGCGCCGATCCGAAAAAGCAATGAAAGTACCAACGGCCGTGGTGTCAGGCCGGGTGTCATATTTACAGGAGTCGGCCGTAGTGTCAGATGGGGAAAGAAAAAACTAAACAAAATGTCCAACAGTGGCAACAGATATTTTTCGACCCAAATTGCCATTTCGAAGTCGACACCTGTTCGTTTTGCCTGCGTGTGTGTTTTTTTGCCTTTGCAAACTCAAAACCTGCCGCGGCCGCACTTGTTTAAAAAAAAAAACAAAAAAAACAAAAAAGGCCAGGGATAGGAGGAAGCCCACCCTTTTCAGTTGATCCCATACATGCAAGCGGACGTGGTGCAAAAAAATCTGAACGTTTGGCGCACGAGCAGACCCGGAGGAAATCCTCGCTCAAAGAAAAAAAGGGGTCGCATGGCTGGGTCGATGGTCACCTGCGTCCCCTTTAAAGATTTGTTGTGGGATGAGATAAAAAAAAAAAGCCTATTGGGAGGCTGAACCCCCAAGACTCCCAACAAAAAAACAAAGAAACAAAAAAAAAACTAAAACAAAATATTCTAAGGAGGAAAATAAACTGAACAAGGTTTTTTGTTTTTTTTTTAATAACTGAACAACTTTTTCCTCCGGGTCACATCGAAATTCTTTACCAAATTTGATCCAGCGGCCTAGCTCAGTTGGTAAGGCACGCAAGTGGCATTCAGGAGTTCTTGGGTTCAATCCCCATCGGCCTCATGTACCGTCCTGGGCATGCTTGGCGCCCGCCACCTAGAGATAGCCCGTTGGTCCTCCCAATCCGCATTAAAAAGCAGTCTCTGATGATGTTCATAGGGGAAGGGGTAATCGAGGAGGCACAGTGACTGGCCATCATGCTCGGTCCCTCTGCTACCGACTGTCCCCTGGCCGGTGTCCCCCGTTGGGGGTTCCCTGAAAGCAATCAAGGCCAACCTGGGCTGAAAAGGCCACCCGATGTCAGATTAGACACAATATTGAATCCTCCACGCTGCTGGAGCAATCAATGCTGATCAGGGTTCCTTCGGCCAGACGGAAGGAAGCGTGTGGGTGTCCTTTATTGTAATATTTTCCTGACTTGCCGGTGGAATAGGAACCAGACTGATGCTCCCCAGAATGGAAATGGAGCCAGGGCCTTAAGGACCTGTTTTATTTATAAAAAAAAAAATAAAAAAA